GCTCTTCTGTTTGTGTGTGTGTGTTTGTTTGTCTGTTTTTGTGGACACAAGACACTCGCGATAAGTTCCACAATCGTTCCAGCTGGGTTTGCGGTTGTGAGTGTGGGTGTGTCAGTGTACGGATTGTGGATCGTAAGCCTTGGCACGCCCGATACAGATACGCAGATACACGGATAGTAGATGACCAGCAACAACAACAACCGCGTTAAAGAGACAACGATGAAGCCCCACACATTGCTATTGCTATTTCTGTGATTCCCTCTCTTTCACTCTCCATCTGTTGTTGTTGCTGTTCTTCTGCTAGTTACCTCGTTTAAGCGTTACTTACACGCACACCAACCAAAAAGTCTGTTGCTTTTGCGCGTGTGTTCGAGTAGGAATTTGTTCATTTTTTCCTTTTCATTCCGCTTTCGTTCTTTTCGCTTGCACTACTACTTGTTTTTCGTTTTTTTTTCTTTTTTTCCTTTCTTTTTTATTTCTTGTCATACTCGTACTTTATAATTAAATTAACTTATCACCCGCAATTGGCTCATTTCTCAATGTATCTGCGAGATGAAGTGGTTGGCTCAAAAAAGCTGGATATATTTCACTGGAACTGCAACACACACAAACACAGGCACAGACACAGACACAAGCTGGAAATTTATAAATTAAACACTATTTAACCGAATTTATTTATAAACACACGTGCGTGTGTACTTAGTTATTTAGAGAGTGCTGCGAGCTGCGACTGTAACTGTGACCGTAACTGTGACTTTTCCTACGTCAATTTGGCTTATTTTAAGCTGCGTACTCATGCCCTTGATTTCATTCTAAGCTCTCGCTGATCAGATTAGCCAGTGACGTTCTTTATCGCGGATGTTGTAACGCCTGTGATTTGGATTAGGATTTCGATTATAAACTGCGCTCTAGCGTTATGATTTATTTTTTGCAATCTCTTCGCTTTTTCTTCGTTTCGTTTATTTTTTTTGCATTGTTTTGACGTAACGCCCTTGTGCTTGTGCGATAATAACTGGTCACAATGGCAAAAAGGCGAATTGAAATTGGAAAGCCAGAAACAAAAAAAACAATACCCGGGGAGTCAACTCATCGCGGGGCGATAACGATAGAGCTCTATATAGCCAGGCTACTACGGTACCACAACGATATCGGCGGAGAGCGACGGATAATGACAACAGAAAACAGCGCGACGACGGTGACCACACGAATGAAGTGGAACTTAATACTAAAACAAGCTTTCGACCATCGCTATATGCTGGCTGCCATTGTGGCTGTGGAATGTAATTCTGCTTCTGCTTCTGCTTCAGCTTGTGGATGTGGCGAGCGAGCTTGGCATTTTCGCCAAAGTTCTGCGTCTGGGAAGGTCGTTGTTATTGTTACTGTAGCTACTCCAAGACAACAACGACACACCCTATAAATATCGTATGCAATCTGCAGGTAAATGCAGGTGAATCATAACCACACAAACCCGAACACACACACACTCACACGGACGCAATTTACTCAAAACTGGTAGAAACAACACGAATTTCTCGCCAAACATTGAGAAACTTCAAAGAGAAGAAGAGAGAACTCGGAAGAGCTTTGGCAAAAGGGATCTCCATACAAGTTTGGGAACCTGTCTGCGAGCCGAGCTTGAAGCCCACAAAAATGAACAACAACAAAAAACAATAATACGCAACTCAGCATAATTTGAAATACTTCCAGTGGAAAATTCAAAAAAAGAGAGAGCTTCAAGATGGGGTTCTCAAAAAATATTATCACGAACATATTGAAGAACCTTTAAATGTTTAAATATTTCAAGCTTTTAAATAAAGAACTGTTTAAAATTAATCTTATAGGTATAGGTAGGTTTTTAAGCTGAGGATTTTTCAAGAATTCCCCAATAAGGAAATCTAGAAAATCAAAAATAATCATGACAGAAAATATTTTATATTTGTTTCAATCCGAAAGAACCAACATTTTAGAGAAATACAGATAAAAACTGTAAAATCTTTTTGAATTGAGAAAAAACTGATTGTCACTTAGAGTTTTCCAAGAATTCACCAATAAGTTACGAAATTAGATATACTAGTGCCGTAAGTTGAAGTCTTCATAAGTCATAAGTCACTCACGATTCCACACCTAACATCCACAAAGGCAACTAGTTAAGCTTATTTACCTACACTATGTTAACTATTCAAGTGTATGTCGGATAAAGCACACAAACTGTGACAGAAAAATATTTAAAATCAAAACAGTTATATGATTGTGCTGAGAGAACTACGGATCCCACGGATTTGGCTTAGACAACAAAGATAAAGGCTGAGAATAAGAGGGAGAGAGAACGATGCCTGACGCTATGTGATTATCGAGAATGGTTTAAAATACTATAATTGCATTTGTGAATGGAAGTAGTCAGCTCTATTGACTCAGCCTTTTCGTCTTTCGAACGTAACAAAGTCCAGTAAATTTGTAGATAATTTGTAATGTTGTTTCTAGCAATTAGCAAGTACACAAGCAATTTTTTGCTTTCCATTAGCATAAGATATAAATCGATGCTATACCACCCACAGCCAGTGTGGACAAGGCAACTGGCCTAAATATAAATTAACAGTTAAGAATTTGAACAACATTCTGACGATGTTCTACGCCTGTCTTATCTTTTGAATGGCTTTATTGCTCACTCTTTGTACATTTAGGACTTTTACATAATATAAGCGATGGTACATTGATTGAAACTGACTTTATATCCAAATGAATTATTTATACAAGTTATAAACATATTGTATATAATATATCTAAGGGGTTTAAGTATGCATTTGTGAATTATTCTCCACCCACCTGACAATACATTTGATATATTTTTGGTACGGCACATTGGACACAAAGAAAAGACTCCTGCAAGCTCAACTTTTAGATCTCAAAGGACTTTAAAGAAATATTACAAAATAAAAAAAAAAAATGTGAAAAGCATAATGTTTCAAGGCAACACTGCGTATGAGTGATAATCATCTACAGACGAAAATAAAAAACTTTTATAATTTTAAATAATATGTACTCATTTTTTTCATTCAAAAACCTTTTTAAAATACATATATTTACATTTATATAGTTTTTCTTTATTTGGCAACTATTTTTAAATCAAATTTTTATTAAAATGGTTAGCTGGAGATAGTTTGTAACTTGAGATACTAAATGGCTTTTTGCAGTTTACGAACTGGTCTAAGCGTAACATAAAGATGATAAAGACTTAAACCGGGTTCCACCCCTTGAAACCTAATCAATGGACAATACGAAAATGATGACCCAAGCCACAGAACGCACGTAAAGAGCAGATAGGAGATGGTAACCCAACATGACTGGTGAAAGGGGCTCCCATAAGAGACGGACTTGAGGACTTTGGGACAAATGATTGGTACAGAGTTTTGTGAAAACCAAGGAAGAACTCACCTTGGCGGACGAGGTTCGTTGCTTGATCGCGGAGGGATGAGCCGAGTGGGTGCTAAGCACGTTCTTGTTGACGGTGGGCGCCACACCGCTGCCGGGGGTGTGGTGATGGTGGTGATTAATCGCCGAGGCCGCCACCGTCACCGAATTATTGCTGGTCAAGCGGGCACCGTCTGTGGTCATATTGTTGGCCACATGATGGTGGTGCTGGTGGCTGTGCTGGTGCGAGTGATTGGTGTTGGCCGATGACGCTGAAACGGGTGCTGGGGTCACCGCGCCCACCTGTCCACCTGTCGTAGCCGCCCCCGAGGTTGGAGTGGGCGTGGCCGCGGTGCTATTGCTGGTGGCCGAATTCGAGGACGTTACAATGGGCATCATCGTCGTGTTGGCAACTGGCGTTGTCGTTGGTGGCAGTGACACAATGTTGGCATTGGCCGAATCATGCTGCTGCTGCTGCTGCTGCTGCTGATCCTTCACCGAATGCGAGGATGTGCTGATCGAGTTGGTGGCGTAGGTGGTGGTTGTGCTGGAAACGGCGGCCAGTGGGGGCGCCGCATTTGTGGCACTCGACACTGGCGCCGCCGGCGCTGCAACATTGGATGAGGTGCCATTGGACACGCTCTCCGCTGGCAGGGCTTCAGGAACTGGCTGCAGTGTGGTTCGCATTGCTGTCGACATTGTTTAAACAGTCCAATGGGGTTCTAAGAGATTCTGCACGTGAGATTCGAGTATTTTCCGGAGAGTCTTTCAGGTTTCGGTGCTTAAAATTAGTCAAATGCCCTGGGGGTTTCTATCATCCGTGGTACTCCTTCACATCTGCAAAGAAATAAAGGCGCAATTAGTAAATGGTTGAACAAAGCTGGCTACTTGCATCTTTTGGCACTCATTAAACGGCTGGTCATTCCCTTGGCATTATCAAAAACGTAGTCAATTACCGACTCCGATTACCGACCTCCAGCCATAATACTTTTAAATGCACAATAAATAATCTCCTTTGTCTGCTTGATACTACTATACTACTTTGTCCACACAAAGTAAGGCACGAAATCAAGTTGTCCACTCGAAACGAGCCACTAGAAGCTGATTACTCAGACGTTACCAGTGTAAAATTGCCATTATCCGCCAATTATCCAGTTATTCACATTTTCCAAATTGCAGCGATTTGGAAGTTACTTAAGCAGTGTAACACACAAAGGTGGAATTGTACAAAATATGTTTCAAATACATTAACTATACAATTTTTAAAATTTCAGGTGTATCTGCCTTATTTTAACAAACTTTTTTCATAAAATAACATTATTTTTAGCGTAATGATGACGGATAATAAAATTGGAGTACAGAACAAAGGCTGAGCATCAGCAATGGAACATTAAATTAACCTTGACGAATTGTTTCATTACTTTGCGTAATCAGTGGAATATTTTAATTAATTTAAGTGAACCGATTAGATGGGACAAATCAGTTGATTCGCGATACATTAACATATTCAAAAATCGTATCATAGTTCTATACACATCGTAACATTTAAACTTAGTAGCAACATTTTAACAGTGCGAAAGTAGTACATTATCGCTAGGCTCTTGGGGTTTACCACCGAGCTCTACAAAAACAAGTTCCGATTGATTTTGTTCGGTATATAGTCGTCGGCCAGGAAGTCGATGACACTCTCGATTTCGGCCTTTAGCTGAACGTCCTGCAGCATGCGCAGTTCCTGTCGCACTCCCGGCTCCAAGTCGCTGCGGGCGAGGAGGTCATTGATTTTCTTGTTGTCGCCGGCAACCAGGGCAACCGCTCCAGTGCCGAGGGCAGTAATCTCCGAGGGGTGCAGGCCAATCCAACGCAGCGAAGGTGTGGTGAGTCCTTGGCTGGAAAAACTCATTGCCTGCGAGCCACGGCGATAGACGAGCATTATCTCAATGCCAAAGGGATCGGCGTCCACGAGAATGTATGCAGGTAATTGGTTCTCCTCGGCCAGTCGATGGACAAGCCTCCTTGTGCAGCAATCTGGGTATCCCTTGCCAGTTATCAGAATGAAGCGTCGTTCGAGAGTGCGAAAAACATTCCTGGATAGAAGACTCTCGAACACCGACTCCTTTTCAACGATCAGCACGAAGTCCGCCTGCGTCTCGATACGATGTATCTTCTCGGGATCCGTGGGCAGTATCATTGGTCCACCATATGAGCTGCCGTCCAGAATATCTCCGTTGGTCATCAGCAGCCGTATATCGCCTGCAAGAGGAACCGTATCAGCAGGCGGCCTTTAGTCAGAGATTCCAGGGTAACTCACCTGCCATCAGGCCCTTGGAGGCGGCCAGTATCCCCAGATTAAAGGGGGAGGTATTCAGCATACGACAGACATCCAGTCTGGCTTCCGCTATCCTGGATTGCGACCGAATCAGCTGGGGATCACTGTAGTATAGACCACGGACAGTGAAGCTTCCGCCATGCACTTGCAATCGGTGGACCCGGGAAAGCATTAAAGTCAGCAGGCAGAAACTGTGACGACTTCCGCGATTATTATAGCTGACTCGTCGATACTGCGTTGTCGTGTTCGGGGATGAATTCCGGGGAACCATCAAGGTGGCATTGCCGCGGACCAAGTTCGTCACAAGCTCGAGGGTAATCCTTTCTAAATTCTCCAAGAAATCACCCATTTTTCAAGTATCAAGTACTAATTGTTAAGTCTAAACAGCTTCTTATTTTCGTTATAGTCTAAAACCTAAAAATAAAAGCTAACTTTAAGTATAATGGTTTATGGTTTGAAAAACGTCAATTAGTTCGTGTATTATTATTATATTTTTTGTGAAAATTATTAATGACATTAAATACTATTCTAAATGACTATTTTAATTGTATCTTATTATTAGTTTTACATTTGGTTAATAAGTAAAGTTGGTTTGTTCTGACACCTTTGTTTTTAGATATCCGGTTTTAATGAAAACTATTGTATTGTTTTAAGGTGTTACGGTCTGTTATGCGTACAAAGTTAAAATAAAATAATGAGTAAGTCTAAATTATAATACTTATTTGTACTTATTTGCACTGTTAATCGGAATACCTTTGCTCGTTGCAAGGACAATTTATGATTAATTATTTTAAATACTTCTTAGTGGAATTTTAAGAACTTATTGCTAAATTGAAACAATTTCAATAAAGCTTTGCCATCTTGTGAACAGAATTGCACTTTTGGGTTTTCCCAACTTCATGTACCCCAAATGTTTCCGAATATCTTTTGGCACTGAACATTTTCCTAGACTTTTGGGATGTTAATTCCCATGAGTTCAATGATTTTTAACATTCTAAAATACTTTCGCATATATTGGTCTTTATTGATCCAGATTAGTTGCAGAGAGTGCCACACCCCCCGTTTCTTTTTTATTCCTTTGTCACAAGCGGAAACCCCCAGGAAAATGAGTGAAAACTGTGGGCTGAACACACACGCCCACCGACCTACGCACAGTAATATTTCATAAATACGTAAGCAATTCGTAGACTTACATACAAATCAAGTGGGCTTGCACATACCTATATCTACTTTTGTAAAAGTTTATCGCGTAAATCGTTGCGTGGAAACATTTCGAGGGGGGTTATAAATAATTTCCGAAAGGAGCTTGCTGGCTAAAAATATACCACCGAAAAGAAAATTCCCTTTCGGTGAAAACAACTGTTTTTTAAAAACTTAAACGCACACACTAGTGTTTAAAAAGAAAAGAGAGCGCGAGGGAGATGGAGAGTGCCATAAATTTATGTGAATTTCTTTATTCGGTCTTTCTTTTTTTCTGTTTTTTTCCTCTTTTCTTTTTTGTATGTGCAGAAAAGTGTACTCGTTATTACAAAGCACGCACACACACCGTTTATTTGGTGTGTGGGGGCGGGCGGCTGGCGGGGGGCGGCTCTCTTTCGGGAGAGCGAGAAAGAGGCAGGAGAAGAGAGCGCCAGCGAATGGGCTAGGAAAACTAACGAACGGAACGAAACGAAACGGAATGGCAGCCCCTTAAAGTATTGATTTGCTGGTTATGGTGCTGCCACTTCTTGTACTTACCAATCAAATATAATTTCCGATCGGCCCAAAGAGGCGTGTGAAGAAAAGCTATGGCCGAAAAGCTATGCGCTCTCGCTCAGAGAGGAATCGCTAGCTGCTGCTGGTCGCTGCTGTTGCCATCGATGTAACGCATATTATTATTTAATTTTCGATTTTTCCCAGTCTCTGTTCAGTTTCAGTTCCAGTTCCTTTTCCGATGCCGATTTCCCGAAAGTGGTTTAGTTGGAAAGGCTCTGCTTTTTACCGACTTTTACCGAACGACGACGAAAACGACGACACACACAACGAAATGCAAATGCAATACATAGCTTTCTCACTCGCTCACTCGCTTCTAGCTCGCCCGCTCTCGCTCGCTCGCACACAGCAGCTCTTTGGTTTTCAATCAGATTTTTCTTTCTTATATTTCTTATCGCGATGTTTTTTCGAAGAAGAACCGTCACCGATTTTTCACCAAGATTACGAACGCAATTGGCTGCCCCCTTTTTTTGTTTCTTTTCCCCTCTCACTGAAAAACCACAATAACAACAACAACAACGACAGTCTTGTTGGCAACAAATGGAAATATTCGCTATAGCTCTGCGCTGCTCTGCCCTTCGCAAACTAATGTGTATCCGCGATGGGTTATGGGTAACTTGATATTGATACGATTATTTTTATTATTATTAGCCGATTGAGCCGCTGTCGGTGGCCGCAATGGGAATTCGTCGCTTGTCCCGCTCACGCAACGCAGTTAAATATTACTATTTTCCTCCGTCCACATCCACAAAGGCAGCAACAAAAGTATGTACGTCTCGGTCTCAAAAAAATTCACATTACGATACGGCAGCCATATTGTAGCAGTGTTGCCAGCTGGCGTGTATCAAAAAGTGCTAAAAATTGACCATCTAGCGGGAAAATACTAAAACGACCGATTTTCTACTGCTATCATTTTAAAAACGGAAAAATTACGAAAATTTTAAAATAAAAATAGTTTTCTACACAACAATTAATTCTCTATTATTTATGCATTTTTGCAATATTTTCATCTTATATAAAAATCTATCTAATCCCTAATTTTTCATTTAATGGCATCCAAGGCATTATTATTTAAGTAGAACTAATCAACGTAGCTTTTGATATGCGAGTTCTTATGACTATTTTTATTTGTTAGTCCATACATAACCATAGATTTTTTAAGAAGTCCATCTTTTCTCGAGACATCATACCTTGCGCTGCAGACTACAGGGTATAAAATACTTTGAAAATTATACCAACAATACTAGGTCGCCGCTCAAACAGTCTGGCAACATTCTTCCAAAAGAGAACAAAAGAAAAAGAGCTATTCAACTCTTCATTTAATAAAACCGTTAGATCATTACAGTTTTATAAAAAACCATTAATATTTGATGTCATATATACATATATATCCATATATATAAAACTGTTTATTTAACTTTAAGTTGATGTAATATCTTGAATTTAAAAAAAATATAAAATATTAATGCCAAGTGTAATAAGGTCGAATTATATTGTTTTATGCGGTTTAAAATTAAATAATAAATTAGTTATTTTTTATTCCACTTTTATTTCAAAAAATATCCATTTGTATAATAAACAATTTATCTAAATTATGTTAGTCACGAAGTTTCAGGAGAAGCTCCTGCCGAGTTCATATAACCGTAAAAACAGATTGTTAATGATAATTTTCAATTAAATACATAACTAAGGGTTTGTCTTTACCGGAGTTCTTACACTTTGGAGTTCTAGAGCTACCATTTTGAAGTAAATGTGAAGATAAACCCTCGGTGAAATAGAAAACTTACAAACTAATAGTCAAAAATTATAAGTTAATTGATAATTACATAAGTTAAGTCAAAATTGTAATATTCCCTAACTGGCTGTGATTTGTTTAGCTATTTTAAGAATTCCTATGCTTTTTGCTATCTCTGCAGATCATACAATTCTTCTCTGATATCTAGATATTTATGACTTTGTATCACATTTCAGTGGATTAGCTGCGAGGCCTTGGAACTGCCCTCGATCCATTTTCTGAGTAAATCTCCCGGCTGAATTGTTGGCTGTTGCTGCGGCACAGTTGTCCGCGAGTACTGAAATTCACTGGCCGCTGCCAATGTGGGTGTGGGCGATGCTAGGGGCGGCGGAATAGCAGCCAGGTTTCGCTGACTTCCTCGGTTCTCGGACCAGCCGTAGTCCCTTATTGTCGGCGCAGCTGTTCCCCACTGAGTTTCTGGTCGGGTCTGCGATTCAAATCCGGAAGATTGGGACGAGGTGCGTGAGAGTTGCTGCTGTTTCTCCTCGTAGTGTCTCATTAGACTGGCAGTGCTTAGGTCCTGGTTGATACTTTGATTGGCCGCCACCCAGGCGCTCACATCAGCTCCGCCGACATTCCGGCTCATGGCCGGCAAACGCGCTGGCATCAACAGATTGTGCGTGGACCTGGCGAAGCCCTGGCTTTGGGCCATGTTACCGGATCCAGGGCGATACCATTGGGTCTCCAATGGCCTCATCGGCTTCTGCTGGAACATCATCGCATGTTGCGGTTGCGGCGCAACTGTAGACGCTCCTCCATAGGTCGATGCCCAGGCGGCCTGCTGTTCCATCCGCTGCTTGGACAGATGCAGTGAATCCAAGGACAGCAAAGAAGCGGGCGGCTGAATTGTTCGCTGCGAGATTGTAGGAGCGGGTGAATGGCAAACGGAGGCGCTTGGCAGGGAAAGGTTGCCATTGCTGGTATTGCTGCAACCACTCAACTGTTGACTTAGCATGCTCAGCGTTTCCTCGTCGCATTCGTCGGCACAGAGGCGATGGAAACTCTCGCAGGCGGACTCGTCCTGACTCGTTTGACTGAGCAGATTCGAGCGGTTGGTGATCAACAAGCCAAGGGTGAAAACACTGCCCACAAGCTGTAAATGTTGGAGATTTTGTTTTAAATTATTTTCAAATATAAATTACATTTACTTACTATGAAAGAGATTCCATCTATATGAGCAGTCAGGAGTTCCATTCCCGTGGCATACGCACTCCATAAAAGTAGAGCTATTGTGAACCGTGTAAACTTTAGCCCGTCGTTGATCTTGTGCAGGAAACTCAGGGCCAACATGGCATATGGATAGACCCCTATGAAACAAGATGCGAAGGTGGCCTGCTGCACTTGCTGTTGACTCAATCCCACCGAATACAGCAATAGCTTGCCAAAGGTGCGTCCGTATAATAACAGTTTGGCTGTCGTTTCCCGCTGTTCCAGGAAAATACCCACGGCCGAAGTCACTACTCGAATAAAGGCCAGCACATGGGAGTAGGCATAGAACAAGGCTAATCCCACGAATTTTCCGAGGAAAGTCGTAAACTGGCTGGCTGTTCCATGCGGCAGGCGGCAGAGTAGGCATAGAATGTTGACCACGGTCAGGATGGTCATTATAGCGCGATATCGCTGAAGTTTGTACTGCTTTTGGGCACTGGCCAGGCGATTGAAGTGCGGCTGCTTGAGCAGCGATGCCCCCTTGATGATGTAGTTGAGGAACTTGGAGCTCAGCACCATTTTCTTCTTCTCGTGCAGGACTTTGTTCACGTGCCGTTCGCAGCTGCTGCACAGGCGGTACTGCTTCTCCAGTCGTTCTCTAAAGGAATATATAAAAGATGCATTATTGTTAGGACAGTATTAAATTTTGTATGTTTTATAAGATTTGAAGAAGATGTATAAGTATCAAGATGACTTAATTATAACTTGTAAAACCGGTTTAATAGAAACCATTCAGTAAAATTAGCTTAGCTTCCTTATGATATTGATGATGTTATATAAATCGAAAGACATTTAAACGAATGTACATATAATAAATCCTGAACGTCATAGGGTTCAAAGAATGATATAAGAGTGTATTATACCATTGTCTATAATGCATTTTAGTTCCTAGTTCTCTTTCCTCACCTGTAAACCTTCAGTTCCTGGTCGAATCGCGACTCATTCTTGGGCTCGAATTGCGACAGTTTCTCGACCTTCAGGCGTTGCGCCTCATTGCACTGGTCGCACAGTCCGTTCTTCGGGGCCGGAGGATTCGCGGCCAGGACATCCTGGTAATATGAGTTGGCGCAGATGCTGGAGCTGCCCTGGGAGCTGTTCTTCTGGGAACCGACGCTGCAGTCCCGCTGCGACGTCATGTCCCGGTTGTAGTCGCCGTCCTTGGTGAACCCATTGTACTGCTCGCATTTCGGGCAGGTCCAACTGTTGCGATCCGCGTAGGGAACTCGTGCGTTGCCATTGCAGAACCAACAGTTTACGCGGGCATTGTAGCGGGAGCTGCAGTTAGACGGTGCTTAGTTATATACGATTACTGGATTTTGATACCCCACTCACCGTATATTAATGAATCCCTTGAACAGAAACGTGCCGGTCACAAAGAGAATCGCACATATCGGTATTGCCGTCGCCGCCAGCGGTATGAGTAGGCTTATCATCTTTATAGCTTTATTTCTTATCTACAGGACTTGACTGGTTCTTCTGGCGGTCATCGAGTCACGTAACTATCCAGATGTCAGCTATCTTTGAACTTTTTCACCCAACGCCGGCATGCAATTCGGCATTAGCGCGCGCATAAAATAACCACAAATAATATCGCTAAAACTAGAGATGGCAGCAGTGATGCGATAGTACCCTAAATGGGCGTCCCGTGTCATCGTGTTTCCACGGTGAAACACTGTGCGGAAATTTTAAGGTGGTATTGAGTTGAAATTAATTAATTAATTTGTAATTTGTATTTGAAAACACATCAGTTTTATTCTGATCTAACATTAGGGATTGAGTTTTAAAATTAATATTCTGTTGCAGATTCAAACTTCTAGAAGAACTTTCTTTGGAATTGTGTTAAAATTAGTGTTGGGGTTCGTAAAAATTACAACTGAAAAGATAACGGAATCTAATCTTTTCTAGCTGTTCATTATCTCCTTAACTGAGATGATCAACTTGAGATACTCAATTAGTTAATTTTCGTTTAATAAAATAGGGGGCTTGGCGGTAATGCTTTCGATTTCTTGCAACTTTAACTGTCCTTTTCGATGGAATCGAAGGCGGCTCACATTTTTTGTTAACCTAGCGGAGACACCTTCCCGACAGCCGACACACACTCCTGCCATTTCAGCGTGACCGTTTCGAATGTTTGCGGTCACACTGCCTTCGTCCCACCTCTATCGCCAACTTCCGCTATAAAAGGCCGCGCAATCGACGGCAGCTGCACTAATTTTTCCAAGTGTGTGAAGCGGACAGTTTGTGTTGTGTTCGACTGCTATAAGCGAAAGATAATTTTAAGTTAAAAGTTCAAAAACCTAAAACAAATACAAAATGAGGGAAATCGTTCACATCCAAGCTGGTCAGTGCGGCAACCAAATCGGCGCCAAGGTAAGTTTTTCCAACTCAATTTTCCATTCATTTTCCATTCGAGAGTACAGTTGCCAAAATGGCGTCATTTTTGCACGACTTGGCTGTCCATGTGGCAAAAATTTGTATTGAGGCCGGCATTTTCACACGCACACATTTGCATTTATGTATACCAAAAAGTATACATGAGTGTGGGTTGTTGAGTCCCGGCATCTGTGTTTGTATATAATGTATATTTGTCCGATTTCAAAAAGATGCTTGCGATTTGTTGTTTCATTCTGGCATTTTGGGTCTAAAATTTAGAACGAAAGTTTGTCACGCCCAAAATTGCGATAAAAACGGTGTTTTAGGGCCATTGACATTCGCATATGTACGTTGTACTTCCATACATGCATATATGTAATTATAGTTGGGTGTGTCTGCAATTTTGTACACCAATTTGTATCTGTGTGTGCGTGTTGCATGCATGAGTCATTTTCTCTTGGGCGAAAGCCTTTCATAGTTTTCCACCGGTTGTGAAAGCCATTTCACTGCCCAGATGGTGAAGGGTACTTTTCTTTCGTCAAAACACGAAAGGTTTTCTACACTCATACACTTAAGAGCTTAGCTCTTGTGTGTGTGAGCGTCGGCCGGTTTTTTTTGCCGCTATGCGTCTTCTAAAGAGAAAACATGACGTCATTTTAACCTAAAATGGCTGAACCGGTCGTCGTTGACCGGTTCGCGGAGTGTATAAGAGTTGGTCCAATACATAAGCGGTATATATACATCTGTATGTAGGCTGCATTAGCCGTTCTATCGATTTTCTTGCATTCCACACTCTACTCAATTTTTTTGCGCTACTCCCCAGCGACTTCTCTATCTAATCTGCAATGAAAACATTTTCTATTTTTTATTCATGACCATATTGTGTGGTATAGACGAATTTCGGTGCTCTTTGGGCATATAACTGGAACTTTATTTTTAAAAGCCAGAGTCTGCAAAGCGAGATGACCTTATATAGAGGAATTCGCCATCTGTTTGTCTCTATCCCATTTCTCTCATCTCCCATACCCCCACACACACACACACCTATTTGCACGGCAAAAGGGCGGTGCTGCACATGCGTGTGGATAACGGGACAAGGCGATGGTGATGACGAATCTTCTAGTCCTTGCCTGAAAAATCAATACCCATATCCTGCGAATGGGCCGAAAAGGAAACAACCCTCGGAAACGCCTCAAAACCCGAGCAGCTGCAACATAACAATTGTTGTGCCCAAGTATGGCTCTCTTCGGCTGAACCGGCTTTAAAAGGGAATTTCTATATATATATTATAATCCGGTACCATTTCGCTTTAACGAGTGTCAGCCACGCACTTCCTCCGTACTGAGTAAATATCAATGACAGACTTATTTCAGTAAATTGTTTTTATTTGTTTACGCGACATAAACAACGACGACAATCGCCAAAACTTTTTTAGCTCTAAGGTGACGTAATGCCCTGAAAAACAGACGATTTATGCGCCAGATGGTCGGTCGGTAGTTAGAGCTGCAGTTTTAACCTCTCAGGCCACGCCAACGCCTCTCTCCAAGTGGCACCTCCTCCTCCTCTGTCCTCCTTCTTATAGAGAGTGGGTCGGAACCCGAACAACCGGTGATGTAAGCCATCGGAAGCGGGGGTTTTGGGGTGGTAGCGTAGAGCAGCCCGGCTCTGAGGTCGCCGGCATTGCGTGGGGGCAGCAGACATACATATAGACAGACAGACAGATAGTAGTCATACACCTCAGCTCAGCCCACGCCCGAAGATTCAAGAGAGATCGGCGGTCGGCGGAACCCAATGACAGCTGCGCCTCGAGATCCGAAACGAAAACCCACGCCAGATGACGTTATCGTTTGTGGTGGTGGAAACGCACCAAAAATGGCAGCGAATAAGTTATGTTAATCGGAGCTCGGCCCATACACAGAGTTTATGATGGCGTACATATAATGTAGGTGCCAGCCGAGCCTAGGCTTACATACATATGTACATAATTGAGGCTTGTGCCCATTCAATCCAATCAATAAAGAGTTATATTTAGACCGAGTTTTTCAACTACCCTGCAAAGAAGGTATCTTGTTTATAAAGTTGATAGCTTTCAAGAGAACTTTCCCATTTTAATTTTCTCTGCAAATGCAGCTTAAGTAACTTTCACTAAACAATGAAAGGAATTTAGAGCTATGTAAATACTTTCAAGTAGAATATTATTTCTTGGGTGGTAGTTATTTTTCTGTAAGAAGTATAAGAATTCCCAGCTTAGAAATTCTTTTCCGGCCTAAGATACTTAGATTCTACCAACGTTATGTACCAGATGGGCTGGGCTGTGAGAAATTTTACGACTATTGATTTTCCGAGGTGACTCATTCGCAAGTCATGTCTTAAGTTAGAGTTAGAAAAACACCCCTGAGAATCGATTTTTCTGCTGACTCATTCGAACCAACATTTCTGTACAACTCCTCTGCTTTGCCCTCTTTCTAATCCCCACTTCTTTACTTCACTCTTCCGTTTGCAGTTCTGGGAGATCATCTCCGATGAGCACGGCATCGATGCCACCGGCGCCTACCACGGTGACAGCGACCTGCAGCTGGAGCGCATCAATGTGTACTACAACGAGGCCTCCGGCGGCAAGTACGTGCCCCGCGCCGTCCTGGTCGATCTGGAGCCCGGCACCATGGACTCCGTGCGCTCGGGACCCTTTGGCCAGATCTTCAGGCCCGACAACTTTGTGTTCGGCCAGTCGGGAGCCGGCAACAACTGGGCCAAGGGTCATTACACAGAAGGCGCCGAGCTGGTCGACTCGGTGCTCGATGTTGTGCGCAAGGAGGCCGAATCCTGCGACTGCCTGCAAGGCTTCCAACTCACACACTCCCTGGGCGGCGGCACTGGCTCCGGTATGGGAACCCTGCTGATTTCCAAGATCCGCGAGGAGTATCCCGACAGGATCATGAACACATACTCGGTGGTGCCGTCGCCCAAGGTGTCGGACACCGTGGTGGAGCCCTACAACGCCACGCTGTCGGTGCACCAGCTGGTGGAGAACACGGACGAGACCTACTGCATCGACAACGAGGCTCTCTACGACATCTGCTTCCGCACCCTCAAGCTGACGACACCCACATACGGTGACCTGAACCATCTCGTCTCCCTGACCATGTCCGGCGTGACCACCTGCCTGCGTTTCCCCGGCCAACTGAACGCTGATCTCCGCAAGCTGGCCGTCAACATGGTGCCCTTCCCCCGTCTCCACTTCTTCATGCCCGGCTTCGCTCCCCTCACCTCCCGAGGCTCCCAGCAGTACCGTGCTTTGACCGTTCCCGAGCTGACCCAGCAGATGTTCGATGCCAAGAACATGATGGCCGCCTGCGATCCCCGCCACGGACGCTACCTGACCGTCGCCGCCATCTTCCGCGGACGCATGTCCATGAAGGAGGTCGACGAGCAGATGCTGAACATCCAGAACAAGAACAGCTCGTACTTCGTCGAGTGGATCCCGAACAACGTGAAGACCGCCGTGTGCGACATCCCGCCGCGTGGACTGAAGATGTCCGCCACCTTCATCGGCAACTCCACCGCCATCCAGGAGCTGTTCAAGCGCATCTCCGAGCAGTTCACCGCCATGTTCAGGCGCAAGGCTTTCTTGCATTGGTACACCGGCGAGGGCATGGACGAGATGGAGTTCACCGAGGCCGAGAGCAACATGAACGATCTGGTTTCCGAGTACCAGCAGTACCAGGAGGCCACCGCCGACGAGGACGCCGAGTTCGAGGAGGAGCAGGAGGCTGAGGTCGACGAGAACTAAATTCGAATCGAAAGTCAAGCGAGTTCTCGATCAATGTTTTGCGAAAAAGAAAAAATGAAACGAGAACAAATTAATTCAGTTGTAATAGATTTGTTCTCTTAACAACGTAATCAATAAAGTCGGATCCAATTTTGTTCACAAGTCTAAACATTAATGGTTTTTTAATGGGTTATTGGATAAATAGTAAATATTTTCCCGGTTGAGGTTTGGGTAGGTGGGTTTTACAGATTAAGCTTATTTTCCATTTTACTTATTTATGTGGGAAAGCTTTGAAATTAATTATGTCATTCTTGCCGAGTTTGTATATCTAAAAGATTTTCTGATTTATTGTTATTTAATGGGAATTTATTTTTCAAACTGAAAACAATAGTAATCTTTCGACCGGCTGTGTTTGTTTTGGGCATGTTCACATGTTTTGTGATTGATAATTTCATTCACAACATTGGTTTATTTTTAGATATTTTATTTATTAGCAGGTTTTTCTTTGCCTACCTCAACATTTGAGCAAATAATGCAAAAAAAAAAAACGATTTGCCCTTGAAGAGGACATGCTCGGATCATTATTACGTAGGAAGTGGGCCTACACAATCATATCGTTTCGGCCTCCGATTTACTTGGCCTTGTATGCAATATATCTAATTAATATAGTTTTCGTGTCGTAGACATCAGACAGTTGTTTCCCACTCATTATTTTCAAGTAGGTGGTTTATAAGTCTGCTGTTATTATTAAAAACTCCAAAAGTCATTTAACATGTGTCATAAATCGTGAGTCATAATTCCATAACCTTAATTTAAATAATTGGTTGGTCAAAAAAATCATTAACCATTTCCTGTAGTACTTATGATTTTGTAAGACATGTTGATAAATCAATATATTTAACTTAAATCCCTTCATATGTTCACATAATATTAAAATTTAAATTTGTAATTACAACAAATTATATTTCTTTGTTTTACAAGACTATTATTTATTTCCATAAATTCCAATTCATGCTCGCTCAATGCAATTTACCATTTTAGATAAATTTCCATAAAAATAATTTAAAATATTAATTAATTAAAATATTTAAAAATCGATTATTAATCGAGTAGCAACAGTGAGTTGCCAGGGATACCGAAATCAGGGTGAACATTTTGGGGCTGCCAACCGTTTTTTTACACAGCGCGGAGCTGCCAACCGCCCTTGTGTGTGTGTGTATTGATTGCGTGTGTGTGTGATTCGTGCGGCCGTGTGTGAGTGTCACTGACTGATATTTGACAAGTAAGATAAAATATAAATAATAGAGCGTTTTTCGCGATCTGTCGCAATCCTCTAACCATTTTGCCGCCCCAAGATGATAGCAATGGACGAGCAGCGCGGCGACAAGATCTACGGCGGATGCGAGGGTCCGGACGCCATGTACGTGAAGCTGATTTCCTCGGACGGCCACGAATTTGTCGTAAAACGCGAGCACGCTCTCACCTCCGGCACAATCCGGGCAATGCTGTCCGGTCCGGGACAATTCGCCGAGAACGAGGCTAACGAGGTGCATTTCCGGGAGATTCCGTAAGTAGGGAGGCTCCGGCGCACTGGCTCCGCCGGCTCTAATTTTCACCTGGGAGCGCCAAGTCATCGCAACTGTGACCTATTGACCGGCGACAAATTTGCACTGCTACTTATGTACATACACACGTATGTACGTACTTACGTGCATCCATATTTATGTACACATGCACGTACGTACATATGTGGCGCCATGTACACCCAACAAAAATGCACGGATTACAGATAGTTCAGTACGATTCGAATCTCCTGAGTATTATACGTAATCTTGGGTACAACTACGTTCAAAAGATTAGTACAAAGTATGACATCAATTTCGTCCAGAAACAATAACACTCAGTTCCCAGTCGAAGGCTACTTAAGCTAAATCGATCTAAAAAACAGAACATGTTTTCAAAGTCTACTCTGAAAAAATCTAGCTAAAAATAATCCATGACTCCTACTGTAGAATGGTATATATTTTGTAAAGCTAAATCCAAAGCAAAATAATTTTAATTCGTAATGGGGTACAATCCCCCCATAAATATTAAAAAAGTTTCATTCCATAATAATAACAGTTACAAATCCATTACCAATTCAAATTTAATTAAAATTTAAAGAGTTTTTATTACCAGTATGTTATGATGTATAAAGTCTTTTTGATTTTAATAATATCACAGGTTAAAATAGACAGAAATTTAGTAAAACAAAATTATGTATAGGAGAACTATGGCTCATAAGTTACAGAACATTAAACGCCTTTTCATTTTCAGATCCCACGTCCTGCAAAAGGTCTGCATGTACTTCACCTACAAAGTGCGTTACACCAACAGTTCTACCGAAATACCCGAATTCCCGATCGCTCCAGAGATCGCATTAGAACTTTTGATGGCGGCTAACTTCCTAGACTGCTAAATTATATTGTTTAATTTGAATTTACATTATTTACAACTGAACGGAGGACGGCTAAACCGCGTAAAGCTTAATTCGCCTATGTTAATTTGTAATGAAACGAGAAGATTGTCCCTGCGAAAAAATAAATTTCTGTTGATTTCCTAAAATATCCGAATTTTCATAAACTTTTTCCAAAAACAATTGCTTTTTATTAAACATCAAGAAAAGTGGATGAAATTTTAGATCTATTTGGAGTGCTTTGATCTGGCTTTGGCGGCGTTTTTGTTGTTCAACATGGCGAATCGCATTTGCTGGATAAGCCATTGGACACCCTCGCCAAGACCTTCGCCGGATACGGCACTGCTGGAGCAAATGTGCCAGGGTTTCTCCTTGATGTTTTCCAATCTAAGCGCTGAAGAAAAAATATTAATAAGTAGATAATTTAATGTAACCTAAAAATTCACAATACAAGAACTTACCTGCTGCAATTTTCACACTGGACAGGGAGTCCTCCATGTCCATTTTATTTCCATAGAACAGAATTGGCACAATACGGTTGGACAAGTCAGGATGCTGTAGCACCAGATCCAACTCATCTTTAACGACCACTGAAATGGATAAATTTAGCACAACAGGAGATTTTCATTTCCATATCATTATGTATACCGAATCTCATGCGATCGCTGGAATCAATGACGTAAATAATTCCATGGCAGTTCTTAAACTGGTGCTCCCAGAGGTTCCTGTAACGTGTGGCGCCGGACATGTCAATTGCCTTTATGGAAACGCCCGACATGCCTGTTTCCAGGAGAATTATATGGTAAATTAAATATGAAAATGAATATTCCACAAGCACTTACTATAGAACTGTTCCACCATAAAGCCAACTGTAGGCACTACGATGGAAGTCTGTTCGCTGGACTTTTTAAAATGATTGATTATCGAGGACTTTCCGCTGTTATTCAGTCCCAGCACCAGAATCGTCATTTTATCCTTTTTAATCTTTATCAAATCGGCCAAATTGTGCAACATTCCCATTTTAATATTCGAGTGGCATCAGTTTTATTTTGTTTACGGCGATGTTTCTGACATGTTTGGCCCTGCAAAGGACTTTCAATTGCCATGGCAACGTACTATTGCTGGAATCGATTTATTGAAACTTTCGGCCACCTTCAACGTTGGCTACCGCTTCCGATTCGTTCGCCCACACATATTTTCAAGTTCACCTCCGACATGACATTGAATATTGGCTTAGAAAGTCTGGTAAAAAAACTTTTAATTTTACCATTTTCATTTTTACTCTCATAGAATTTTATCTAATTCGATCAAAGTTTTCTGTAGACTAATTGCTTCTAAGCGCAGGAGATAATATTATAAATTAAACTCAAAACCTATCTTAACTTTGGACCTTGAACCCTTGGTTTACATTAGAACTAGTTGGATTAATGAATTTTTCCTATAGGAGTACTGTTTATCCAATAGGTTTGGGATTTAATACAACGCTAAGAACTAAAAAATAATAGTGATTTCATCTCCAGATTGCAAAATCTCTTAATTTCTTATGTTGCTTTAACTATGTGAATTTGTATCTTTTTAACAATGCTCCCGACTTTTGTTTGTAAGAACATTGAAGATTTTGTTAAAATGAAAACCAGTTATTGGTTATTATTAGTTATTGGTGTCGAAATGATTTAAATACCATGGACTTCATTATTTAAACATTAAAAGGACTTGTGAAATTAAACTTCAAATCCCTAACTATAATGGCATTTAAGTAGACTCATTCCGGAATCAGGTACGCAATCTATCATCTTCCTATGCACTAAAACCGCTTTCTTTCTTGTTTTTTTTACACAGTTTTTACACTTCTTATTTTGATATCTACAAAAAAATGTAAGGGAAATTCATCGCCTGCAAAATAAATTTGGAAACAACAAATGGTAAACTAGAAATGAATCTTACAGATACGATTAACGGGTTTAAGATAGTTTAATCAAGAGTATCAATCCAGTCAGTTTTAACTATCCACAATTAATAACGGTGATCAGAACTACGAGTTTTACGTGTTGACACAAGCCAAGGTTTATTGTAGAATTCTTCTTAAAAAACATGGTTACGGGTAAGAGCTCCTCTACTTCTTGGTGTTCAAGATGATACCATCGTACTTCTGCTGGAACCACTTCATGGCATCCTCCTTGGTGAGGCGGTGCGGGAAGCCAACAGTGCCGGACTTGCGCTTCCTGTGGTTCACGTTGTAGCCTGTAAAATTACGAAATGAGTATGAGTAATGTGCAAAGGCGTAAAGCCGGAAAGGAACTGTAGAAATTGTACCGTGGGGCCCTGCCTGGTACAAAGCAAGTCCCAACTAAGCACATCTTCTTTGCTATGCGCACATTCACTGAGCATCAGAGCCTCGATTGGCCGAGATACCTAATTAAGTGCACGATTCCAAGCGGCTTGGAGAATGAATGCTTACCAGGGCGGCCCAGGACGACGTAGAAGTCCAGACCGTAGATACCGATAGAGGGATCGTACTTGATGCCCAGATCGATGTGTTCCTGGATGCCGAAGCCGAAGTTGCCGGTGGAGGAGAAGTTCTCCCGACGCAGCTCGTACTCGCGCACCTTCAGGCCGCGCTCCAGAATCTCCTCGGCCTTGGCGCCGCGCACCGTGCAGTGGACAGCGATCTTCTCGTTACGACGGATGCCGAACGAACGCACCGTGTAGCGGGCCTTGGAGAACACTGGCTGCTGGCCAGTCAGCTGCTCCAGCACCTGTTTATATCGATACAGAGGGTTAGCCACGATCTTGGGCTACGTGCTCCATTATCTTACCTTGGCGGCACGGGTCAGCCTATCACCAGACTCGCCCACGCAGATGTTCAGGCAGAGCTTGCGGATGTGCAGATCCCTCATGGGGTTCTTCGCGGGATCGCGCTTAATCTTCTTCGTAACAGCCTGAAACAAACAAGGGATCTCGTCACTTATTGGGGTTCCACTGTCAACACACCGTACAAATTTCATCGCACGTCGCACTTTTACATCCCAAAAATATGGTCGAAAATATGTCGATGCGGCCACAATTTGTTTGTCAACCTACCGCCATTATGGTATGTAGGAGAGAAGCTGCTCACAGGAATTCCTCGCTGCAAGAAAACGGTTTAAAAGTTGTTAAATAAAAATATCACCAAAAAAAACGCGGAACTCTTACCGGAAACTTGTAAGAAAAGAAGGAAAGGTTAGTGTGCCCGCGGTCAGGCGCACAGAAGACCCTAAAAAATGCCCGACACGTGCTGTTGTCGTGCTGTTAACGGGCTATCGTGCTGTTGTGCGCACTGTGTTCCATCACTAACTGTTAACGTGAAAAATATAAATAATGGGGGTATTCCGTATATTTTAAAGAGGTGAATCTGTGAGTTTTAACAGCTGTCTACCAGATGATTTAGATAATTGCAACTGCAATCTGGTATGCAAGGCCCGATTCGCACAGGAAACATAACTAATATGCTGCTCGATTTCATTAGACCGACTGACATCTTCGTTTACAGAAAGCTTTTCAAATATTTTTTAAATCGCTGAAATTTTCTGTTAAGTCTTTTAGATTTAAGGTAAGGCTGTAAACTATTCTACTTTTTTTGAATTGATTTTTTAAAATTCTCTAAAATCGATTAGAGCAATAATATTGTTCTCGTTCCCGTTGCAAGTTGAGATCAATACGTTAAAAAAACCAAAGCGTATTATTGTGATTGTTTTTCTTTGTTTTTGAACCTGTGGTAAGCACCAGCCTAGGGCCGTTTTTTAAATGTTTAATTTGAAATAGGCTTTAAGCTCTGAACTCATGGTTTATTGGCTATTTAAAATTAAACACACGGAAAAAAACGGCCCTCAGCTTTTGGGACTGATTGACGTTGCATCGATAACCCAAAATAGGAATCGATTTTTACGTTCCAAAAATACATCGATTAGATCGATTTAACATCGAACCAAGTGCAGCAGCAACTTTTGCTGACCGGGCAAAATAAAATAATAAATTGCTTGTGATTGCAAGTGGTTCACGTTCATAACTTTCATTTTTTCAATATTTTTCTGATGATTTAACGTTTGGTAAGTATTTTAAAGAAAATATGAAGCGGAAAAGCAACTGCCATCAGTCTTCTCACGTTGCAAATAGTTTTAAATTGCAATTGCGTATCAGTATTTTGCTATTAATTGTTGTTTACAATAGCAAGCAGCGCAAAGTAACTTAACACGTTAGAACGTTGCGAAAAATCATTATCTACAGTTGCGAAAAAAATAATAGCACCACTTCGTCACAGGTTCTTAATATTAAAGAAATATGTGGAAAACGGGGATTTTTATACAAGAAGTGTTTTTTATTATCTTGATTAGTATTCCACTTATTTGAAAAAATTGATACGGATATCGAAAATATTGTCTACATATAATTTTTTCAGATTTTAAGAAAAAAAGTCAAAAAAAGGCCGAAAAAAATAATAGCACCACTTCCGTTTTCTTTAAATAAAACGTTACGATGCGCTAATATTCTTGTGTATAAAGGATATATTCTATGAGATTTGACTAAAACTAACTTTTCCTGATATCCAGACATCAAATTGATTACCATTTGGCAATACAAGGACATGTGGAAAAATTTTTCAAGTCGGAAAAGAAAAATATTAAAAAAAACATATTGGATGGAAAACGGTCATGAAAACCGGCTCAATTTGTTAGGTCTTGGATCATCTTTATTAAAAATGGCATAAACTTTTAAAGGATAACACAGAAAAAGCGAGTCCTGGCCCATTTTTCCTTCTAAAATGTTATATCACAAAGCAGAAAGAATCTTATCAGGGCCAAAACTAAACTAAAACACGTGCTTAAAATAATAGCGAATATTTTAATAGTTGGATAATGCTTTAATAAACAAATTTATAAAACATGCACTTAAAAAAAAAATCCTATCCGAAATGCGAAACACATTTACAAGGACATAGGGCTCGTCAAAAAAACTTACAAATGAATGCCCGCAAACTTATAAGAATGTGTGAAGGCAAAGTTAAATTGGGTAAGAAGAAATCCTTTTTATAAGTCATGTGTCTTCTAAACACCTAAATTGACCAAAAACATGGTACCAAAACATCCATTTATTGAGCATGGACCTAGTATTAACATAGGCTTGTTTTTCCTTCTTGGAGTAAGATCAATACGGATGAATACATCGTTCATGAATCATCATATGATGTAAATAGTAATACGGTAGTAATTCGTAGCTTAAACTGAATACATAATACTTCTTAAATGAATCTTTGACCAATAAAATCCGGCCAGGATCACGGTCAGGATAGCAAAGAAAGAGTTCGAAAGTACTCAGTCAGCAATATACAGTGACTTGTGTACTCGCTTGACCATAACACAACCAAAAATCTTGGAGTTTTTTTTTTAAAGACAGTTTATACAGTTAATCTAAAACGTCTTAAATCATTTCCGAACAAAATTTGAAAATATATCATGACTTTTGGGCCCCAATTCCTTTATAGGTACGGTCCTGACTTGTTTAATCGATAGTAAGTCATTATATCCAAAAATCGCAAAAGATATTTACACTTTAAACTTAGATTTACTTGTTAGCTACTGCCAACTAAAGATTAAGTTACCCATTTGTCATTTTTCTACCTTTTATTCTATTTTTAGAGAAGTGGTGCTATTATTTTTTTCGTATGTTTTTCCAGTTTTGCATGGATTTTCTTAAATAAGTCCAGAAACCTTTTATAAAGCTAACATTTTTTTTCATATTCAAATTATGTTTAGTCTTACTATTTAAAACCCGTTTTGAAAAGTTAAAAAAGTTAAAAAATGTGAGTAGGGTGACTAGTTAAAATTTTTTTGGGTTAGTGGTGCTATTATTTTTTTCACAGCTGTATGTCGTACGCCGAGAATTTTGATAAATCTGCATTATTTAAAGTTTGACAATCTAATCCCATAGAGCACATCGCTATCGGGGGAGTCACCAAAATCCCTTCCAATCAAAGACGGTTGCTTTTGTGCATTGATGTAAGTAGATGAGTAATATACAAATTGCGAAATACTGTAACGAGGTAGTACACTCATAGAAATTTTTACCTAAATACTAGAAAAGTCGCCCTAAAACCGAGGTCGCTCTAAAACTAAGGAAAATTTTCTTATTATACGGGTGGCTAGCCCTAAATATACGAAAAATCGCCATGGAAAATATTTTTTAGGGTTAGTTTTTTCAAAAAGGCAAATTTTCCGTGTTTTTTAGGGCGAATTTTTATGAGTCGCCTCCAAAAGTAATTCCTTCTTTTTAGGGCGAAATCGCCCTAATACGTAGAACAAAATAGCAAAAAAAATGTTCTGAAATTGCCCTAAAAACAAGGAAGAGTCAAACGAAATTTTAAGACGCAATTAATGGATACATATGTAATACATGTGTGTATGTGTGTGGTTGACAGGTCAAAACAAGTGAATGTGTGTGTATATTAGGGCGGACCTTTTTCTATGAATTTTGATGCTGAGCGCATTTGACTTTAGAGAAGTCCACCCTTTTTCTTCTTCTTTGCTACTTTTCGTCCGCTGCAGTGGCAAGGGTGGGGGTAGAAAGAGTTGCATTGTCTAGACTTTGTCATAATTTTTCGGGCGCTTGGCAGTGAAAGACGTGTTTGTATGAAACCTTTTGTTTGTGAAAAAGTGAAAAATGTAAACGCTATTAAGGGACTTGGGAGGCGATTCTTTTTCTGATTTCTGGTGAGTACATACATATATAATTGTGCAATTTGGATATTAATAACTAATTGAATTTACATATCTGTAACAAAGGAAAATGCAGCGGAAACTTTAAAAAATTTGAGTGGAAGCAGCTACGAGGAGAAATTCCTGTTCAACTAGTCGGTCCAGAAGCGGAAGTTTTGGAAGTGTGGCAGAACAAAGTAAGATCATTAATAAGAGTATACATATATGTATGTGTATATGTAAATAATGCTTGAGTTAAAAAGATGATGCAACAGAATACACACATACATATGTATATATTTACAAGAAATCTGTATTTATGCACCGGACAAACCGCATTCATAAGTGGTTATGCCAAAACAGCCCCCAAATTTCTATTGCGACATTTCGTCAGTGCTCGAAATTTGCTTTTTCTGCTTCTTTTTTTTTCTAGGAGTAGCAGCAAACGCAACCGCAGGCTAAATGAAAATTGTGTGTGTTGGTTGTGCATTTTTATATTAATTTCTAACAATTTTTTCTTTTTTTTTTTTAGATCGAGAACGCTTTTCAGATCCAGCTTTCGCAAACCACTTTTCGGACTTAATAAAAGCAGGAGTAAGGAAGCAACAGGAAATAAACCTGCTCAAATTTTTGGAAAGCTCTGAAGGTAAGTGCTTCTCTTTTTTTCTATTATCATATAATAATTAGACTGTTTTCATTTAATAGAGATACAATCAACTTTAAATTGGCTTGCGATCCATTCAGTGTTGGTGCCGACAGCAAGAAGAAAAAAGGACGCCGGGAGCAAGAACGCGAAGCACACCATTGCAGACTCGGGAAGCCGTTTCTTTTAAAGTTATTTATTATTTATAATTTTTAAACCCGATATAATCCATTTAGCAATAAGAATAGGAGAGTATGTAAATTTGTAAACCTATAAATTGTGTAAATATATTTGTAGTTAATGTAAATAACAACAAACAAAAATATAAAAACAAAAAAAAATATATTAAAATTGTATTTTTATTTATGAAAAATGGCCGTGAAATTTTGGGGAGCATTTTGCATGTTTTAGGGCAATTCACCTATAAATCCAGAGAAAATGCCCTAGATTTATGAAAATCTGCCTTTAGTTTTAGGATATTTTTCCTTATTTCTAGGGCAATTCGCCTTAAAATCCAGAAAAACACCCTAGATTTATAAAAAATTGCCTTTAGTTTAAAGGTATTTTTTCCGATTTCCAGGGCAATTCGCCTATAAGTCCAAAAAAATCGCCCTGGATTTAAAGGAAACTGCCTTTAGTTTAAGGGTCTCATTTCTTATTTTTAGGGCAATTACCTTTGAAAACAGAAAAATCGCCCAAGATCTACGAAAAATCGTCCTAAATGTATGACAAATTCACCCGTATTTTTAGGGCAATTTGCCCTTATTTTGTTGCCTAGTCGCCATTGACCCCCGTTTTAGGGCGATTTTCCTTGTTATTAGGGCGATTTTACCGGAAAATTTCTATGAGTGTATTGCATTCAGAATTTTGAATATTCATAAAATTAATCCGAAAAATTCATAAGTCTAGTTTTGTGAAGTTCAAAACTTAAATGTTCCTAGAAACGTTAACAATAATTTAATCTATTTATTATTATTAAGCAGATCTCTCAGAATATTTTATGATATAATATGTTGTATGTATAACACTAGTTTACAAAATAATATTCTTGGTGTGCTCCCCAGCAATTGATGGCAAATTCTGTTAGTTTTAGACCCCTAGATCACGAAAATAGCACTAATTTTTTTTTCGATGGCACAGTTTTTTTTTAAAGATTTTTTAAAGTTTGAAATGTTAAATTTCGGACTTTTTTCGAATTTCTTCTTATATCTCGGCAGATATCCACTTGGTTGAGCCAGTTTTAGTTTTATTTTAAAGTCAATAGATCAGAGCTTAACTTTGCCATACAGATTAATATGATTGGATGAGTAATGGCAGCGCAGAGGCTTGACAAAGATGAAAAATGTGTTTTTTGGTCGTCTGTAAGTCGGCTGTATATATCGTAAAAACTCGAAATAAATCCGTTGAAAAATCATAATGGGTACAAACTTAAAGTTTACATCCTACCGAATAGAACAAGCTGAATATGGCCCAAATCCATGGAAAACTGGATTTATGGTGGATTTTTAAAGTTCGGATTTTTCCACTTTTTTCGGTTGACAGAGTCCAAATTTAAGATTTATCATAGGCGGCGACATGTAAACAAAAATGAGTGGTGACGGCAGCCGGATCAAAAAATAGCTAAATTTAAAAGCTAGAAAATTATAAAATAAATTTAATTTCTGAAAATTCCTTTAAAAATATAAAATTGCTTGCGTTATGACTAAGAGTATTTTTAATTAAGTACTATCCATTTGGATAGTTCATTCTTATGAAAAAAGTAACCTTAATTTCAAAAATTAAATTAAATTAAATTAAATTAATTTTCTAGCTTTTAAATATCTGATTTAGCTATTTAGTGACCCGGCTGCCAACACCAATTATTTTTGTTTACATGTCGCCGCCTATGATAAATCTTAAATTTGGACTCTGTCAACCGAAAAAAGTGGAAAAATCCGAACTTTAAAAATCCACCATAAATCCAGTTTTCCATGGATTTGGGCCATATTCAGCTTGTTCTATTCGGTAGGATGTAAACTTTAAGTTTGTACCCATTATGATTTTTCAACGGATTTATTTCGAGTTTTTACGATATATACAGCCGACTTACAGACGACCAAAAACACATTTTTCATCTTTGTCAAGCCTCTGCGCTGCCATTACTCATCCAATCATATTAATCTGTATGGCAAAGTTAAGCTCTGATCTATTGACTTTAAAATAAAACTAAAACTGGCTCAACCAAGTGGATATCTGCCGAGATATAAGAAGAAATTCGAAAAAAAGTCCGAAATTTAACATTTCAAACTTTAAAAAATCTTTAAAAAAAAACTGTGCCATCGAAAAAAAAATTAGTGCTATTTTCGTGATCTAGGGGTCTAAAACTAACAGAATTTGCCATCAATTACTGGGGAGCATTTTAACTGTAAACTAGTGTAATTTTTGAAAAAGTTAGAATACCCTTTGCAAGCATATAACGAAAAAGTTTGCTTATTTTTTATTAGCTATTCTAAAAAGACTCATTTTTTTTGGGATACATTTGTATATTTGTATAATTTATATGAAAACCCTAACTTGATTTGTTTAAACACACAGAAAACATTACTGCTCGTCTTTTATTGGCAGTGGTACCAAGAAATATTCGAATCGGTCTCAGCGTGGATATTTGGAATAAACGATAAGCTTTAATCATCTGTGGTCGCAATGAATTCCGTCAGCCCTAACAAGCCCGAAAATAGCCCTCTAGGATCTTTGCAAGAATCTACTACTGATAAACATTTTGTAAGGTTAAATATAATTGTTAAAATTATTAAGCCTCAATATAATTATTACTTTAGCTCAGATCCGATTTAGATACGCATAAAGTGGATGAAATAAGCGATGAAAGCGAAAATGTTCAGGAACTGAAACATACGATTGAAATATTGAAATCCAAAGTTAAGGATAATGAAGAAAAACTGGTTCAACTAAATGAGAAGTCGCGTGAAAATGAATGCAAACTAAAAGAAAAAGATGATATAATCGCCAAGCTAGAATCACTAATAAAACTCAAAGAAAATGATGGGATTCGAATTGTAAGGCTTCCTGGCATCGAAGACTTCGAAGCTGCTTTCGAGAACCTCCCCGGCGATGGTCCAGAATGGATGGTAATCCAGCGTCGTATCGATGGAACGGTCTCCTTCAATTCGTTGCATCTGATGCACTATTTTTGGATTAAAACGGGATTTGGAAATCTTGAAAGAGAATTCTGGCTTGGTTGCGAGAAGTTGCATATGTTGACTTCAAGTCGCAGACATGAGTTGTACATTGAACTTGTTTGTTTTGATAATACTAAGCGAGTTGCTAGATATGACAACTTTGTGATTGGCAGCGAAAATGAAGGTTATCCTTTAAAGTCCCTCGGAGAATATTCGGGAGACGCCGGCGACGCTATGTCGGGTTCTGTAAATGAGAAATTCAAGCACTATAACTGTTATTATGCCTGTCTGAAGAGAGTTTATTTTTGGTCTTGGTGGGGAAAGTCTGAATGGTAAATGTATAAAATATGTCCAACTGTCCATATTTTGACTTATTAAATTTGTTTCAGTAATTTAAATGGCTTTTACCATGGGCACGAAACCCATCTGACAGACACCAATGGCATTTGGTGGGGAAAATCTGACATGGGAGAAAGACGTTCACTGAAATCATGTCAAATGCTTATCAGGCCATACCAAAATAAATAAGACGGCTGATCATATTTTCTACAAATTTATAAAATTGATTGATAAAAAAAATATTTGATTTTGATGCTTACTTTACTCTACATTTGAATTGTTTGAATTTTAAATATTTAAGAAGTTTTTACAACTTTGTTTTTTTAGATTTATCACAGAACGTTATGTAAACTGTTAAAACTTTTACTGAGTTTTACTGAGCTATGTTTAATGGCTACGTTGTTGTTAAGACTAAGCTAAACAGCCTCTACCTAACATGGCCCTCATTGATATATCCAAAAAACAAACCCATTCTTAATTAATAAAATATAATAATAATTACCTCTCACTCTTTTAATATCCGCCCCTTTGTCATAACTGGTGTTTAGTAACACAGGGATCTATCATTGGGTGATTTTAATTCATGGACGGTAGACATATAGACATGCAATACTCATGTTGTTAGCTCTCAATAAATATGAAAATTTAATTGTCAGTCCTAGTTTTCTACGATTGGGATTGCTGAATTCAGGAAAATGTCTCTCTGGTGGCTAAACTTTTTTCTCATCCTGTGGACAGTTTCAGTGGTAAACTAAAAAAAATATGAATTTACTTTAACAAAGAAACATTTAGTTACAATCTAAAAATTTAATTTGTCTATATTTGTATATTTTAGACTTCATTTAGAAAGTTATTTGATATCCGGTTCGAATCGCTGGAAACTATAGCAGGAGACCCCGAAACGCTGTTTACATACAAGTTACGATTACTTGGAAGAGATCGTCTGATAAATGGAAGTATTGAATTTCTGGTGGACCTAGACGATACTTTCGACGTTTTTTTTGTATCGGAGACCTTAAAGAATGGAAACTGGGTCCCAGGATACTTAAACACGTTCGGCAAACCGTGCGAATTTTTCAGCCTATATTATGCTCCATATTTTCAACTACTGTCGAACGAGTCGAATATACCTACGACCGCTAGTGAGATGTGCCCTTTTCCAAAAGGTGAATATTTTGTGAAAAACGGCCGAATTTCTACCAAAGATTGGCCACCAATTGCCTTCCGAGGTCTGAATAGATACAAGACTAGATACATAAAAAATAACAAAAGTACTGGTGGACTGCAGTTTACATTTACCATAATAGAAAAAATTCTGTAATAAATGTTTTTTAGAAAAAAAAAACAGATTCTTTGGCTTTTTAAAATAATTTCAAGTTGACTTTTTACAAATGCGGGAGGAGCTTTTACTAATCATGGTAGGCCTTTGGCCGAATATTAAAAAAGAGTCATGTCACAAAGTAGAAGAGAATAAAATAAAAACCAACGGGGCTATAATTTCAACCCTATTAATATTCCGATTGTTCCTATGACAAATATATGATAAAGCCGTCCGAAATTTTTAAAATTTAATGCATACAACAAAAATATTCCCAAGAGACGGTAGAATCTCAAATAACTCCGAAACTACAATCAATTATTTTTCCGATTATTCCTACGGAAGCTATAGGATATATTTGTCCGATCCGTATGATTCCGACTTATATACTACCTGCAATAGAAAGAAGACTTTTGGAAAATTTTCATTCCGATGGCTTCAAAACTGAGAGACTAGTTTGCGTAGCAACAGACATACAGACGGATTGACGGACATGGCTAAATCGACTCCTTCACAGCGTTGCAAACTTCTGACTGAAATCATTATACCCTCTGCTAGGATATAGTGATATATGAGTAGGTATTTTAAATCTAATCCGTTTCCAAATTTGAATCATATTCTTCTCCATAGAAAAAATCAACTTATTTTTGTGAGTGTATGTATAGCCAAGCCATTTTTATATATTTTTCTTACATTTTTGATTACAGGTTATAGTTACAGCTAAAATGATTGCATTCGAAATTGTTTCCTTTCGTTTACACGGGGTATGCGCATATGTATATATTTTGCTACGAATCTCTTTTAAATAGTAATAGGTTTTTTAATAAGGTTCACATAAATATTTACATGCACATGTGCACATACAATTTTAATAATTATTTATCGCGTTCACGTTTCCAGTTCAGATCCATTTCTAAGGCTCGTCCCAAGCAACCGTCTCCAGCGTCGGAACTCAATCTTGTATCTAATTGAAGAGAGATTATGTCGCACACATCAAATACAATTGCTAATCGGGCGATAATTACAGCAGATACAGATTAATCAGAATATCGATGACAATTACAGCCGAATACAATTAACTCAACGATTAAAACTCAAACAAAGGCAGGCAGAAGCATTTGCGGTGGACAGCGACAATTAACACATGCACCAGCTAATTAACACATCTGCGACAATTTCGAATTGCGTAACAACTAAACACTAAAATAAGATTTAATATCTAACCAGCACCCAGAAGCCCGTGGCGTCATCCCGCCGGAAGTAGCGAGGCCGATTGTCCCTGAAGACGGTGACGGCGGGAAACTGGTTCTCCTGTATAAACCTAATAGTTGCACGCGTCTGAAATGAAAATAGAGTAGTTTGATTACTAATCAATGATTACACAGGGAGTAACAAAATTGGTTTCATGACTTTTTATAACTAAAAGCTCATACATTGATGGGAATAAAATCTTGATAAAATCGTTGTGTCTTATTAGCGAGAGAGCTTCTAACGCTCATAATAAAGACTAGCCAATGTTCCTCATATATCATTAGTTTTAGCCACGCCCCTTCACCAGAACAAGTTTTTGTTTTAATAATTCGATGGTAGACATGCAATACTCATGTCGCCTGATCTCAAAAAAAAAGGGAAATTTAGGAGGCTGTCGAATGGTTGATTTGATTTGGTTTGAATCAGAATATAAATGCAAGAAATAATTTTTTTTTACTAAAGTTAGGTATTTAAAAGCCAAAACGTATTGACAATTAAAAATTCACACCCTCAAACGCTAACACACCTGAGGCGCAAAGTGAGGCGGCTCCACGTCGGGACTGGAGGACAGGTGCTGCAGAAGAAACTCATCCGTTTGGGATAGCCACAGATCGGCGCCGCGCAGCGGATCATAGTTGAAGGGTCCAATACGAAGCATGCCTAACGAGGAGTCGTATACATCCAGGACCTATATATTTAAATAGATGAAGCATTAGAAAGATGACACTTGGAGATCACGTTTTACTTACCGACTGCGCCCCCATAAAAATGCGAGCATCGCGAAGTTCCCGATCCGGTCCTCGATCCGGAAATGAGGCCGGAAAGATCTCACCAGTCTTGATGTTGACTCCCACACCGTAAATGATCGGGCAGCTGATCTCGCCACGCATCATGGTATTCAGCTCGCCTACGCACGCCTGCGTCAGATCGATCTCAAGCAGGTGATTGTGGAATGATTCTGAAAGATATATAAATAATATTAATAATATTATTGATAAATATGATAACATAAATGCCTTTACACTACAACAAACTGAGACTAAAAAAAGAAATGTTCAAATTTAAAACTTTAACCAAAACTTAAAGAGTAATTTTGGGGCTTATAAATTAGCATAAATACAAATTAAAGTAAAACGATTAAAAATTTTACAAAGCCATGTTAGTAAACAGAGAGATACTTTCTATCTAAAAGTTTCTGCTTTTCAACACGTTAAGGTTCTTTTTTCGAAATTATTTAAGTTCCTCATCAAAAATTAATCTAGTGAAATATTCCGTAATAATAAAGGCAATATTCGACTTTTTAGTCTTAAATTATTACTATTTGTAATCCCTGCAGCTTTTCAACTCACGCATGATGCTAAAGAAGACGTCCTCGCCGTAGCCCTTGGCATCCCGATAGCCACCAATCAACTGCAACTCGATGCGACCCTCCGGATAGCCGACGGCCAGCTCCTGAACCCGCGACACCATGGTGCACACAGCCTCGTCGACGCCGCTGCCATCGAAGTGAGCGAGAGCCACTGCGCCAGATCCTGCAAGGGAATAAACCAGGTTTAATGAGCCAAACGAAGCTTATTTATGTGGTGAACAAAGGATATTGGGAGACCTACCCGAGTGTCGGACCACGACGATAATACAGGTGGTGGCATCGTCGGCGCCGATGATGTTGACGTGCTTGTCGTGCGGAGCGGAGGCGGCCAGTTCCCGCTGACCCACGTAGAGCAGACCCACCGGACCCACCGACTTGGCCTGGATGGAGTGCAGCTGCTGGGCGTAGTCTCTGTAGACGGGATGCTGCAGGAACAGGCTGTTGGTGTCCATGGGACAGTCGTCCTGCAGCACACCATTCAGCACGAGCACCATTCTGGTCTTGGTCTGTCTTGTCCTTCCTTGGCCCTTTCTCAAGGGTTTCGCTTCGAATTACTTGGAGTTTGTCTCTGGCAAGACAAGTAGCAGGCAACTGTAAGGGGTAGAGAGAACACAGAATGAGTTAGAATCCAATGGAGATGGTACAAACATAAGTAACTATGTCTTCCCTTCTTTTAAAACTTTAACTTCAACAGAAGCAGCAGCATAAAAATCAATTTACGATGCCCGCAACCGCCGCAGATTTGCATGTTTGATAATAATTTCATGCAGCCGAGAGCTGAGAAATATGTTTACACCTCGATCCCTCCTCGGTTGACTCGTAAATTTAACCAGCTCTCGAACAAAAAAGGCAAATAAAAATGTCAAGAGTTGTGGGCCTGCGGCTGATTCGATTCCCTGCGCACCGGTTAACCAACAATGGACACCCTGAAATTGGTTCGCAGAGGCGTGGCTCTGGAGGGGTTCGCGGCTCGTGGCTCTTCGGGAAATCTAATAAAACAATTAGAAGGCCACTCGGGGGGTCATCAATTTACTGAGTGTGATACCCACTGCCCATATGGCCGGCAATTGAGACAAACACCCCAAGTCACAGATGTCACACGAAAGTTAATAACCATTAAGTGGCCGCCACAGCGAATTAACCACCAAATGAACAACAAATTTAATAGAATTTAATAATGCTCAGCACAGCACCCTGTTCCTGAGCTCCGAGTGCAATTGCAATTCGAGCTGAGTCAGCTTTACCAGGCGCGTAATTGAATTATTTACCTACGGATGCTGCCTAGTTTCAATTAAGCGAAATAAAGACAAGTTAAAGTTCAAGTATAAGTGCATATACGACATCGTAAGAGACTCATAAACATAAACGATTACATGGGCAGCAAAAAAACAATTGTCAGAGCTAATTCCCGATGCAAAATTCGTTGTCTGCTTGTCAAAAAAAACGGAGAAAAAATTATAAATAAATAAACAAAAATGCAAACAAAGCCCCAAAGAATCCCAGCCAGGAACAACACTATTAACTGGGCTCGGGGCGGAAAACAATGGAAAACGTTGGGGAAAAATCAAACAGCAAAACGTGAAGAGCTCGGTCTGGATGCTGGATGGTGGTGGATGGTTCAGGAACCCAGCTAGGATAGCAATTGTTATGCCGGTCTTCGGCCTGCTCTTGCCTGGAAGCAATTTAGCCGCGATCATGCATGAATCTTGATTAGATATTCAACGAGAAATAATTTGAAAATGATGACAGTTGGCGATAGGCGCGCTCCACTCTCGAAGCCAAAGGATGGATGGTCACACTGGCAGAAAAGGAATCTCTAAATTTTTTAAGGGTTTTAATAAATATATTAATTACGGTTTTAATATAACATACAACTAAAGCTCCTAAGAATAACGAACTATCCAGAAATAATTTTTCTAAGTTCATTATTATTTTCTCGAGTAAAAGAATTTATGGGCACACTGGCAGAAACGAAATTTAACGGTGTAAATAACTATTTTGGGTAAATTTTTTATTTTAAAATATAACTAAACGAACTATACAAGATATACAAGTATATTAATTTATTTTTAGGTTTCTTTTATGTTTTTTTTTTTAACATTTAACTTTTGAATAAACTTTTAAGTTTTGCTGTGCAGTTGAAAAGCAAGGCATTGGAATGAAGCAGGAAAAGGAGCTGCAGAATGCCGGCGATCTATGTAGGTGAGGCAGGATGACCGAGTTTCCCCCAACTGATTCCTAATCAAAGACCCCAAAAAGTTCTGTTGACTCTGGCTGAGCGGGCGGTCTTGCCAGTCAGTTCGTGCCTGGGCTCGAGATTCCCTCCACTTGATAGGCCCGAAAGCCAGAAACCTGAATCCCAAGAAAGCAGAGTCCTCGGCCCCTCGATCACCGTGATCGATGGCAGTGGAACGGATGATGGCTTGGTAAGAAAACGCAGCAAACAAGGCCATCAGAAACGATTCAATTCATTAGGCGGGCGACGAGTCTATTACCAACGACTGACTGACTGACTGACTGGTCCGTGGAACTCGTTACGGTTCTGGCTTATAACAATCACAAATTATGGGTTTGTGGCTGGGCAGCAGGCAAAATGATCTTGTAGATTTAACACTGATAGCCAGTGTCGGGCCGAAACAGGTTCCATTTGTCTACTGGCCGGGCATTCTTGGCCACATGATTGATTGCAATTTTGACGAGTGCAACGGCGGCAGCAACTGCAACTGACAGACTGCAACAGCTACAACTGCTACTTTTCGTCTGTGGTTCTGTTCTGTTCTGGCCAAGTAATTTACACCCCAGCCTCTGCTTTCCAGCTCATCTGTCCAACTGTCGGAACACGCTGGCCGCACATTTGGAATTCTTTTGGCCAGGCAGGCAGCCCTTTTACACGACACAATTGTCAACACGAGAGCGCGAACAAATTTCAGCCAAAATACGAGCTACATCACAACCGGTTTTCTTGGCCGAAAATTCCGGCAAAAATGAAGAAATTGCAGGCGGGAAACTAAAGCCACCACCAACTTGTATTGTGACAGGGGAAAAGGTGACGGAGGAGGAGGAATCGGAATCAAAGCGACTTGGATCTGGCCAAATCTGAGTCTCCAGTGGAGGGCCTTCTTCCGGGTTCGTGATTTTCCTTTTGTTGCTGCTCCAACAGCAGCAGCACTGTTGCAGTTGTCATTGTTTTCCACACATTTCATGGCCAGCATGCGGAAATATTGTAAAATTAATTTCAATCGTTTGTTAATCGAAAGATAACTCTATACAGACAGCGGATTCTTCTCTCCGCCGATCTCCTTCCATTACCCCGCCATTTAATGCCGCTCTGACAATTTAATTTGGCCCAGCTGCAGTGGATTGTTTTGGCCCTGGTCCAAGACCAGGTCCAAACGTGACTGCCAATTGACTTCCACACAATTTCGCTTTGGCACGCAAATATCGTGAGGCCGGCTACCTTCCGAGCTGGGCTCCCCCAGAAATGGTCACCAATGAAAAACCCCCCAAAAAACAAAAAAGAAAATCGAAAGTTTACATTGAGTGGAAGCTGGGCTTCGTGTTCCTCCCTGGCGGTTACAACTTTCTGGGATGCCAAAATCAGTTGAAAGAAATAACAACAACCGGAGGAACAGACTGAATTGAAGTTGACATTTCTGGCCATGTTTTTCGTGTCGTTTTTTGTATTCCTTTTTTTATTTTTGGTCTAGACCGCGACTTGGTTGTAGAAGATGCCAGTACATGTAGGGCTAGGCAAAGCCAAAGCCAAAGCCAAAAATCCAAAGTCTAAAGTCGGAGATTTCCTGAATAGCTCTAATTAGAATTGCCGATCGTCGTGCTCCCCGTGGCTCAATGTGCTCGAATCAGCAATTCAATTCTATAATTTCATTTCATCCAGATAATGATTAATGATGATAGGTTCATTATACGCGTACTGTCATCGCCTCATTCAATTAGAAGTGCAGTAAAATAACTGGAAGTTATGACTTGGTACTTGGCTGTCGATCACTCAATAGTTGGATCGCAAAGGGGAGTGTCAGCTATAGAAAGTTGACAATAGATATGTATATGTACATTCGAATAGATAATTAAAAGAAAGCACCAATATGGAGTATAAATGTTTTAGGACAGACAAAACTAAACCTTTTTATATTACCTTTAATCAACTACAAATATTTTAATTTTTTTTGTAATAACTACCGATACCTCAAATATTGTTTATATATTTGTTTATATCATTAAAAGGTTTACCAAATGTCCTTAAGCTTTTAGAATTATTTTGTCCAATTTCAAGTTAAAAACCCACAAGGTTCAAAGTATATAAAATGGTAGTGATATTTACTGAACATTATTTATCCTTGAAAGTTTTATTCGTTCATATACTCCTATCCTTAGATTTAGGTCATTAACCTTTTAATCGCCTAATATATTTTCTTTAGATTTTCTAAGATATAATTTAATGGCATGATAAAAGTGCGATTTATGAAATAAAGATCCCACCATAGATTTCCATTCGCGGATGATGTCACATAAACTCTCAGGATAAGACCCCTGTTTAGTACGTTACTTGGACTCCCAGAATAAATCACCTATTTAGTGCCAATTGAATTGCACAATTTCCCAGAGTCGGCCGAAAAGGAAATCCATTTTCACACAGCAGTTAGGCCCAAGAAAGGCGAATTCTCACTAAGTCTCTTGTCCCATTACTAAGTTAGGATCGTCTGCTGTTGTTGCTGTCGTGTAGTATCTGCTAAGTTGCCGCTGTCTCTGCTATTTTTTTTGGTTTCTTTTTTTACCGAATGCCTCCTCAGCCAGCTGGTTGTTTTTCCTTATTTTGTTTTTATGGCTGCACCCAAAAAAAAATGATCATAGAAAGTAAACTATTTCTACATTAAAAGTAAACTATTGAGTGTCAAAAATTTCTCGATACTCTGAGTATTAAACTAATGGACTTCGAAAGTATAAAAATGAAACTTTCGAAGTTGTCAAGTTTAAACTAACGAGTATACAGTTTATACTCACTCAGTGTACTGAAATTCAGGCTGCTAGTTTATTTTGTATACTATTTAGTATAATGCCAGTATAAATATTATACCCCCGTATTAAAGAGACAAAATTTAAAAAATGTTGTTTTGTACTTTTCATATATTATAAAACATATTTTTTACTTTTTTATAAATTACTGAAGGTAATTTTTAATTTAACAAATAATATAAATACAATACATGTACAAAATATGTACGTATGTATGCATATTTGGGCAAATGCCGTTTTACCGCTTATGTCGCTGATCATCTCCAGAGTGCACGCCGTCCAGATGAATAACAAATCTTGGTCGAGGACGCTGATATTGAAGTTAACATTGCGCTGGCCGCGGTCAGAAAAAATGCAAGCCAATTGCAAGATCCTTAGTTTCCCGGCATCTGGAGCGCAACTCAAGGTGGTGTCCGTAAAAAGAAAAGAATTTACTCATTAGTTATGCACTAAGACACAATTTAAATGTACTTACATTTCAAATAAGCCCAAAATAAGCAAATATTAAAATTTTCACAAGTAATTTTCACAAACAAACCTTAAAC